CCTGTCTTTAGCTGATTTCGTCTTACAGGCTCCTGCTTCCGGGCAAAAGGTGGACTTGACGAATGTATCAACTGTGATGGGAGAGACCATCATTCCCATTAAAGACGGTGAGGGTTCATTCATCTGAATCACGAGGCTTGAATATGGAGAAATAAAGGGAGATTGGTTTCTTTAATAGACGCAAGTTATTGGAGTGAGCGAACATTTGCCGAAATGCAAGCGGATCGAGAGTACTTCAAGTGCTTCACGCTGTACTTGGACCAAGAGATAGACACTGGGCAAAGCACTTGCTCGAACAAAACCTTCAAATTCGATTTCAAGGCGATCAGGGATATATCCGAAGACCAAAAGAAAAAAGAAGTCGACTTTTTCTTTCTGAAGGAGGTTCGTAAGAGTCTTAACTTTTTTTTTGTTGCTCTTTTTGAATTACCCGGAGCCAAACCCATGAAACCTTTACACAGAGTTTACTGATATTTACTCAAAGGTTTCAAGACTCTTCACGCGAACTCGTTCCATTGTAAAGAAACCATGAATTTGTCGAATAAGGCAATTGAAGATATTGAACCTTGAAATTGGACCCCCAGAAGAACAGGAAGATTCCGCACATGTGACCACATGTGACCACATCGCGACGGCATTGTGATTCATGCTGAGACTCCATAGTCCCGTACAAACGGGTCAGACGAGGCCGGTTGCAAGTTTCATGAAAATAGCAGTAACCAAAGCAGAGACATTAACTCGTATGGTGAAAATTCAGGAGTCTTTCTTGCATTACCTTGTGCCTATGAATAGAAGAGTATAACACTTTTTTCTCCTAGATGGAATACCTACCTATATACCTCCTTGTCTTAATTCTCGAAATGCTCAAAATTAAGATTTGATCCTGCAATACGCCATTCCAGACTCACCTTGAGTTCAAACTAAATCCCCGCCAGTGCATTTCCATGCAACAGACCGATAGAAAGAGACGAATCAGCTTCAAAAGAGGGAATACTCATTTTTCATATTAGGTAGAATTAATTTTCGTCTTCAGCACTTCGTGTATATGATCGCTGAATCGGCAGATCCAGGTTTTCGTGCACGATCAGAAGGAGAAATTCGCATATTTGGAATCCTTTAAGCCCGAGCACGTGCTCGTTCTCAACAACACCGTTACCAACATTGCCATTCGTCCTGAGTTCATTCAGAAACAGAACAAAAAGGACGACCCCTGCACCTTGGATGAGGACTACAGCTACATGCGGGTGAGTTAAGCTAAAACAGCTGAATTGGCACAACCAAATCAATATCTGAAATATTTTATATCCAAATCAATTTCATATCTTAGGTATTTATGTCTAAATCTATTTCATATCTTAAGTATTTATATTTAAATAAATATCCAGGAACTATTTTTTAACCAGTGCATTGAAAACTGCTTCTGGAAACGGGCACAGACTTCCCCACGCCTACCGTGTTTGATCCCTTCCCTCCTGCCTGACGGAGCGAATCTGACGAAACCAGAATGCCAAGATAAGAATGAAGAAGACAAGCAGCAAACGTACATATCTGGGACCGGAAGCAACATTTCGTTGTGGAGCAACTGCAGCTGTGTCAAGAGGTGCAAGTTGATCGACTATCATTTATTTCTGAATCCAGTGAATCCCTGTGAGTGGAGGGCAGGGCAAGGGAACGCGACCGGTCTTGCTAGTCTCATGTTCAGTTTCCCATCGAATCGGGTTCGTGTCCTCGATCTTTGCCTAAATTCCCCTGTCATCATCTGGAGAAGGGTGACCTTTAATTATCCTTTAACTCCCTGTTAGATGGCACACATCCTTGAGATGGAGAAGGTGAGGGAGGACCTAGAGGACAGGTTGTAGCCGCCTTAGCAGCCGTAGACGGAGCCGCAAAGGGAGTAGTGGTAGAAGCTGGAGTAGCTCTTTCGGTCAAGGTCGTGGTCGACGTTTAAATTGCGGCGCCGTAAGGATGCCATTCAAAGCGACAAACAGTGATTTCATTTCCGGTCCTCTTCATTCCTACACGCCATTTTTCTGCAACTCTCTACACAAAAGTATGGAGTGCCTGTGAATTCCCAGTCCAAGAACGGGTTTTATGGAAGCAATCCCCTCCCGTATCGGACAAAAACAAGCCGTGAAAAATATTTACTATATCGGCCATATCGCACCGCTGCATGAATTCCAATCGACAAATGGCTACGCTTTCTAGTATAGATACCCTCACGAGTTTTCGAAGATGTTCGACCGATGTTCGCAGTATGAACGACATTTTAATGATTTCACAGAAGCCTATGAGTACCAAAAATGCTGCACAAATATGTGCATCACTTCTTGGTCGCTTCATGCATGTTTCCTTCCACTCTAATTATAAGAACTTGTTTGGGATATCACATACTGCACATCTCCCAGCTAATTCGCGTTTTACGGGGTATATATGACTGACATAACATGCACATTGAATTCTAGCTTTATTCTGAAATCCTCTGAATGAAAGCAGAAACAAAAACTTTCTGGCACGTTTCTATCATCAATGTTTCCGGCGATGTTGCTTACTAATTACTGAGAAGGACCGGAGTGCTGCCAATATGTGTAGCTCTTAATTGATATTAGTATTTTATATTTGATACTTTTATTCGGCTGTGCCTTGTAGGGGCAAGAGGAACATCACGGTTACCAAACGAAGTTATAAATTTTTTCTCACAGATGATTTGAATTTTTTTCTCAGAACGAGGAGGGTTAAGAAGGGGAACATACCAGCTCTCATTTCGTATTTTCGAAATCACTAAATTTTACTTTGGTTAAATTTGAATTCCCGAGAGGACACGGGGAAAAGAGATCCAGCGGATCGTGAATGAGAATATAGGATTTTGAATCTCTGCCCAAAAAGTATTTAAGCGATTTCACCCAAATCAGGTTTTTATTTAAACTCAGGCACCCATGCACGGAAAGCGCGTCGTATCATACCATGGTATCTAAGTCGAGTAAAAATGCGACTCACTCGTGTATTAAAAAAAAGGCACTGAAAGAACTGTCGTTTACGCGGGATTTACCATGAATTATAACAAGATAGATTCAAGGTGAATTTCCTTCAATTAATCTTCATCTCTCCCATCACGATCGTCACTGTTTTGAAACTGACTGCCGTGTATGATGTGTATGTGAGTGTACTCTTTTTCATGTGCCACTCAGTTGTCCACCCTTATTTCCTTCACGCAAACCCACATTACGCAGACAATAAAGCAATCCATGCATTCAAAATGCTCACACATCTGCAAATCGACCAATCGAACATAGGAAGCCATAACTTTCCAAATAATTCCAAAGTCATCAACCAAATGAGAAAAAACACTATTTTGTGTTAACAATAACGATATTGTGTCAACTTAAAGGACCTAATTGGGGTTTCTTTGCCAAATTCAAGTTTGATGACTCTAAAATTTTGAGAGATTTAATAATTGTAGAATAACCAGCAACAAAATGTGCCCTCGAAAGAATGAATATCAGCTTCAGGTCTGCGTTCATGGAATAAACTCAATTAGTTAATCAACTAAGCTGGACCATGACCGACTTACATACTATAAATAGATAAATGAAAGCCTCAGCTCGCTCGTCGAAGATTAAGTGGAATTTTCTCATCTTAAACCTTTACTTCCTGCCGTCACAGGTGAAAGCCGAAAAGGCCTCGAATAAGTGACTACGATTTTCCTTATATACAAAATGAATACCCCGTTTTGGTGATTAAAAAGTAATTTAAATACTATTCTCACCGTGTGTCTGGAATTTCGATTCAAAATTCGGCATACAAACCCCAATCGAGTCAGAATCACCTGACCTGTCAGATTGAGATCTCACCAAATTTGACAAATAATGACAACTTTCTTCTGGAGCACGGTGCATGAAGAAACTAAGAGTGAAGGCTTTTCCCTACCAATGGAGCACGCATGCCATGACATCGGCCTCCAAACGCTCTCCGCTTGGGATGGATAAACTGGAGGTGCATTAAGGAAAAGGGACGGGGAAAAGGCATCCGTCGACTCTAGTAGCTGTTCCGCATGGACGAAAGGAGCTGTACTGACATCTCATCGTGGGGCAAATCCTTCTTTTCTTTTCGCTTATTGTGAGTTCCTGCCATTTTCCTGCCAACTCTTGCATGTGCCGTGTCATGATGCAACATTTGTCAATTTGAACACGGACAAAAAGTATATTTGATCTAAAATGCATTGAAAGGACGAAGACGGTTGGAGCTGCTATATTGGCCATTGAGATTGCACTAAACATTATCAGATGTTTCCGGATGTAACGCCGTAGTTCTTAAGGAAATCTCAAATGAATATATTAATTTCCTTCCACCGTAGCAATAAAACCTATTGCCTTCAAAAGCAAAGGTCGAATAAGTATTTACAATTTAAAGTGCATTGATGGATTAAATGGTTGAAGACGCATTAAAGATTTTCCTTCGATGCGAGAGATTTTCGCTTCTTAGTTTTTCCTTTTTTTTTACCGTGCATAGAGAATATTGCTTTTCAAAGCGGCAATTAACCTAAAAACGAGCGTATGTTTTCTTCAGCATTTTTAAAAATTACCTCAGAATGAGAGTCCTTCACAATTGTAATTTTTCGGAGCCCGCCTTAAATGCTGCGATCGTCCCCCACAAGTCTCCCCCTCCCTTCCGCACTGGAGTATTTCTCGTCCAGTATAGGCATAACCTCGGGCAAGCCTGGATGGGACGAATCAAGAGAAGATTGGTGAGAAGCCAACTGAATGGAATGGTCTTGCTAACGCCATGAAACCGAATGTCCTTTCGTTTTTGGGTTCCTAGAACAATGGGAGGGAAGGTGCTTCTGAAAATAGAATGAGCAGTCCCAGGCAGGTGCAACAATTCAATCATAATAATGAAATACCGGCTAAGCGATGCACTGCTCCATAAATGCTCCCATCTGGGTCAAACAATAGGTTTACGGTGATTAAGGATTGCCATTACAGATCGAGATATTCATCCATGACCGGAGGGAGCAATTCACAAATACGCAGCTGTTCATTCTGGGGAAAGTGACTATTTTCAACGACACGATCACAATCATCATCCTGAGGTCGTTCAGACACAGATTAGAAAACAGGAGCCATGCACCATGGATGAAGACTACAGCTATATGAAGGTGAGTTGCACTGAAACAATTCAATTGATGAGTGATGCAGAATTTCCGAGATGTTCTGAAGTCGTTGAACGATTTTTTTATTATCGAGTGCTTGGAGAACTGTTTCTGGGATAGGATCCAGTCCCTTTCAGGCGTACCATGTCTCAACCCCTTCCTGCTACCCAATGAAGCCAACCTGACGACACCAGATTGTCAAGATCCCAAGAAAGAAAGTAGTATACATGGGTATCTGTCATCTCAGGGAAAAATCGGTCCCAATGTTGCCTAACAAGTGTGAGTGTCTGAAGAGGTGCAACAAGACCGACTACCATATCTCCGGAAATCCAACATCAGCCTGTCAGGAGCTACGCCAATTCAAAAACTGGTCCAGTCGTGCAGGTCTCTTCTTCAGTTTTCCCTTCGCACCGGGTACGTACCCTTCCAGTCAAACACTTCCTTCAGTCTGTTATCCAAACTCTATACGAGAATAACCGGTTATTGATCCCTGAATACCCCAATAGGTGCCTCACATCCAAGAGAAAGAGAAGGTAAATTTGTTAGATCTCCTGTCCAACATCGGAGGAATCTTGGTGTGTCTCTCATCACCATCTTCGATGTCATCGAGGCAGCTTGCTCTTGCATCATATATAAATTCTTCCGACGGAGGAATGAGATCTTTCACGACGAGACACAATGATTCTACCATCCCTCCTTTGACTTGTGTAGACTATGCCATCTGAACCCCATCTACATGCTTCGGAGACGTTTTTAGAGCAAAACAAAATACATGTATGCAAGAGAATGGCCCACGGGAGACTCTCGGAGGTCAGACGCACATTGATGAATTCCAATTAACGATTGCTGACAAGGGTCCTTTAGTTAGGTGTAATACTCGCCATAACTTTCAGAGAGATTAAACCAATAATCTCTACCACAATCCCACTCTCACCACTTCGCAGTAAACCAGCAAAAATGCGGAGTGGGAGTGGGCTTCAAAGCTTCAGGAACGAGTGATTTCTGTAATTCATTCAGTATGGATATCTTTGTATTCAATGTGTGATGGGAAAGTGCATATATATCTTGCTTGGAAACCATTTCAACTTTGACTGCTTTTTGAACACCTTGAAATCGTGAAACCGAGTCTATGCTCACAGTCACAGGGGACCTAGTTTTCCTCAATGTCTGCTGAAGTGTCATTTATCAAAAAGAATCTCCACTTAATGAATAAATAAATTAAAAGCTTTGAATTGATTCAAATTGGAATTCATTATATCAAGTACCTTTTAGAGTTCCTGCATTGTTAGCACTTCAACGGTAAGGAGGGGTTGGATATGACGACAAAGCTAAGTCCTTGATACATTACGAGCTTTAATAACGCAAAAAGTATGATATATACGACAATCCTTTTTTACATCAGATAGAGCACTTCAAAGAGTTTGTGTTTAACCCATTCTTTTCTTTTATTCCACTTTTGGGAGGTCTGGTGTTACTGTGCAGCGTAATTACCGTCAAGTGTACCAGAAAGACACTGTAAACTCAATTTAAAAAATAACTGGCGTGACAAATTTTTGGAAACCGGCAGCGTTTTGGAGAGGAAACTTACAGGAGAGCCTTCAGTGTCAGACGAAAAGGCGGCAGAGAAACGCTTGCTGAAATTACAACTTTGAAATTAGTCCGTCGTCGAATTGCTGTTCCGTTGGATCTGTGAGATTTTCGACACTCAAT